TATCCCCCATTCTTTCTTCATAAATTAACTTTGACGTTGCACAAAAGTCATGAGGTTAGACTTTGCCCCCCAACTTGTATTTTAATTAACCCCACCCCTGATAATTATTGCGCAATTCCATATCGTGCAATCGTCTGCTTTATTCACTTTTTATATGTGTGGCTTTGGTTGTAATTTGTAGAGTAAAAACTAACGCTAGTAAGTTTGTATTTGTGATCATTTGGACTCGATGTTTCGACGCTATCTGGCGTCATTCTCAAGAGGAAATACATTAATATATTCAAAAACATTAAATTATAAGATTGAGCAAAGTTCCATGTGGATAGTCTTAGGTGAAGATTTTGGCCTTAACGGAGTCTGATTCACTTTTGGCAGAGTTATAAGTAGATCGAAATATGTCGTAAAATATATGTTCATATTGGTTTTATTCCGATTTTGGTGCTGGTTAGATATTTTCAGCTATGCTTTATTAGAATATATAGTGTCAAGCAATGCATCACGAGGACCATTTAGCTACAACAGCACTGCTGGTTATGACATAAAAGAAAAGCTAGRCTTCACAGTTATCAATGGATGTCCTCAACATTGAAAACTAGTAATTTTYCCTTTTTCAATTTAATTTGATTACTGACAAGARGCAATGTTATCAACCGGATTGCATTTCRAGGAAGTGGACTTGATCTTCAGTATCAAAGCCCCCATAAGAGGGCTAAGGATTTTTCAAGGCTATAGCTGAAAGGGTTTTTGAAGATTTGATATGATCTGAGAGAGCTGAATTTTCAACAACCTCATTTTTAGGTCCCCTTTTGTTTTCGTTTGAAAGGGTGGGAGAAGATACTAGATGGTTGGTGATGTCAAGCTTAAGATGAAGATAATAGGGAAAGGGAATAAGACTATCCGTGACCAACAACATGATGCTGGACAGAATTAATTCCACTAAATATTGCACTCAGACTTAAAATGATGTTTTTACAATAACCTCAAAAAGCTTAAAACATTTCACATAAGAACAATGCACAAGTGGTTCTTGTTTTAAAAGGCGCTTGAATAGCAAAAAGAATTAGTCTGGTAGTTCTTMGCCCACTGGTTCTTTTATGTAGGTTTGTAYTGTACCTCTTATACTACTCAGTGGCCTTCGATGCTGAGAGGCGTCAATAGAATTGTCAAAAAAATGTTTAAAAGAGATGCAATAGACTAGTTGTTCCACAAGGACAATTAAAAGATATAATATTAGCGTTAAGCATAGAAAAAGAGGGTATTACTTTCATTCACTTATAACTTATACACCCTAGGGCTTTAGCTTATTGTATGTAGCTTTTACAATGTTTTTTTTCTCAGACCGTCTGACTCGTCTGCTTGCTTTCTATACATATAATGCGAATTTTAAACACATCGCTGTAATTGAGTTGATTAAGGGGAACGATTCGTATCGATAATTTTGGATGTATTTTGAAATTTAAAAGAATTCAATAATTATGGAAAAAACTATTTCAAGCAATGTTGCTGTTGGTTTTGCCATTTCAGGTAAGAAATGAGGTGACRAATTGGGAAAAAAACACATTTTTATGTATGACGAATAAATCAATAGATCATATTCAATGTTTAAATTGTACTGTTTACTGTTTATTAAAAGGCTATAGTTGAAGACAATCCAACATTAATAATTGTTGGGGTAAAGGTATCGTTTATGTCATCAAATTGTTAAATTAGTTCATTAATCTATAACGGTCTCGCGTTCAATCCATTTTAAAGCTATTTTATATAGATATTGTTGTATGCAATTTTAGTTCGCATAATGCATACAAACTGATATATTCTTATACATCGTTTTATTTTATTTTCATATCTGTCATGCTCAATAACACAAAATCGTTTTCCATTGAATAATATAAAACTTAAAATATTTTAATTGGAAAGAAATGATTAATTACAAATAGTAAAACAGTAATAGCAGCAAGAAAAGCGTCTATTGGAGATGGTAGTAGACAAAAGAAGGAAGCAGAGCAGAGAAGGGGAGAGGAGGGGAGGGGAGGGGAGGGAGAGGGAGAGGTTTGAATATGTTTTTTTTACACGTCTCTGGGATTGAATGTGATCAATGAGTATAAACCAAATTGACACGAGACAAACAACGCCAAACAATTGCTCTGGAAATATACATTGGCGTTACTTGTCTCTGTACACCATATTTGTAATCATACCTTATTTGGTGGAAGAACCTTTTTAACAGATTAGCACGCGCGCAAGACATTATGGTCTCAGCTCCTTACAAATACTCACTTATTGACGCATTCTAATCAACCAATCAGCGCGCGAGAATTGCCTATTCCTTCATTATCAGTGTAGCATGCATAACAATGGACAACATGGAGAAAAAACCTTTGGGCACCTTCTGTGTTCCAGTTGCCATTCTTACCGAATATAAACATAACATATATATACGCTGTTGGCAGCTGACTATAAACTATCTKTTAGGTGAGCGAGTTAACCAGCTTGGTGGAAGCTACAGAAATGGCAAACCACTGTCCTCAGAACTCCGTCAAAAAGTGATCAAAATGTCCATGAGTGGAATCCGACCTTGTGAAATAAGMCGTCGTCTCAAAATAACTCATGGCTGTATCAGCAAGCTGTTGTCCAAGTTCTACAAAACAGGGTCTTTGAATCCTGGTCATGGAACAGCAGGTCGACCTCGAGTTATCACACCAAGAATAGAGCAACATATTGAAAGGTTTAGGAAGGAACAGCCTGGGATTTTCTCCTGGGAGATACGTGAACGGCTTTTACGTGAGGGCGTGTGTGACCAGTCCAATTTACCATCACTTAGCTCAATAAGTCGGCTGGTGAAGAATAAAATTAAACAAAAAGCGGAGTCATCAGCAAGTGGGTCCAAATGCTCTTTAAGTTTTTCTATCAGTAACATTCTAAGTAATGACTTTCACAAGCCTGCAAAGACGTCGATGCGTTGCTATAGAGACTATAATACATGGCCAGGACATGAATACCATATACGTCACAGGGAAGATTTACATATAAGAGGTAATTTAGTTTCTATGCTAAATTGTTATGCATAAAATACAGGAGGAGCCGACGCGTTCCTGGGAGAAATATCTGTTCTTATGTCCCAGCCAGCTGTAAGTCATAACTGGTTGCCAGCGAGACATTCAGGAAAAAAACTCTCCAGACAAGGAATACTTTTTAAGAATTTTTGCCAGGAAAATCAAAATTTCCTAAATAAAAAAAATAGGCCGTTTTTGACCATAAAAACGTCATGTAAGCCATTTTTGACATTAAAAACGTTTGCCAGGAACAAATTTATTTTAAAGAAGAAAGGGCGCACATTTGCTTGTGAGATTGTCAGCAATGTAGCTCAAAATTCCTTTCCCAGGAAAAAAATCGCAGAAGAACACTTATTTAGAATAACAGACCCCGTCGGCTCCTCCTGAAAGTACTCTGTACAATAAATATACAATCGTTGCCAAAATGTTTGCACCATTCAAACGAAGGTCCTTATTTTAAGAAGCACCCGATTGTTATATTCAAGGGAGTTGATATAACTCCAAAATAGGTGCAAAACAATTTCTTTTCTAACAAATTTAACTACACAACAATTTTAGCTGCACCTGGGTGAGTAATAATTTTGACTCCTCTTCTAAGAGCAATTTTGGAACCCCTTTTTGCAGTAATTCAAACTCTCTATGAGGTGCTTTAAACCTCTAGAGTACTGAAATGAATTGCGTGCTCCACCAGGTAGAGTTCCTTAATTAACAAGATTAGTGGAGTTACTTCAACTGCTTGGAAATAACAGTGCAGCGAGCAGACAATTTTATTCCCACTTAAATCCCTAAATGCAATTTTGTCAGTGATCGAGTGTGTTGCTATCCAAAACAAGAGTCAGCAATGGTGAAAGGGGGAATGGGGGAAATTGTGAAAACGTAAAGGAAAAAAATAGGCGTCAGACAATTTATTGTATTGTTCAACGTATTTTGGAAATCGATTTTATATATAGATTTTCCCAATCCAGCCTGAACAGATACAGATTTAAAATAACTTATTTGTTGCAAAGAAGAATCCAGAAGATTGTTGCATAGGGTGCACTTCCCCCTCCTGAGAACACGTATCTCTCATACGTTTACCTGATTTTTGTCTCTTCTGTGTTCATTTTTTTGGTTTAATTCCCAGTATGCACTTCTCCGAGAAGAAAATCTTATATCCCGGCCATGTGATGGTGGTCATGATTTAAAATCAATCTATTTTAACCTTGCGTGTTTTTTTTTTTTTTTTTTTTTTTTTTTTTCTTTGGCAGAAGCGGGAACATCAATATTGAATTATAACGAAAGTTATAAAACTTCGAAGTGCCCAGGTGAACACATCTCCCACAGGGAACCCAGTCGGATATCTGACAGCAGGAAAAGGCGAATCCGATTCTCTGATAGCCAGATAAACTTCATGAGAACAGCATATGAAAACAATCCGTATCCATCGCATGAGGAAAGGCATGGGTTATCGAAGCTTATGGGTGTCGACGAGGCAAGAATTCAGGTAAATTAAAGAGTGGAACCCAGCAGTGGTAAATAAACAGTGAGATATGAAATAGAAATGTTAAAAGATTGATGTTTGAGTGGCAAACCAACTAACCACACAACCAAACAACTAAGAAACCAACTAACCAATGAACCAACCAACCATAAAATAAAGCAACAAACCAACCAGACAACCAGACAACCAGACAACCAAGTAATCAACCAAACAACCGATCAACAGACCAACCAACCAAACGACCTACAAAACAACCAACCAACCAACCAACCAACCAACCAACC